GGTGAGCTGTGAATTATCACGAGGGCGAGCAGAGAAAGACGCACGCAGTTCGCTGCGGTAGTACGACATGTCGCGCACGGCGACGTAGGCACGCCAGCTCATGTAGTGCCGCGGCGGCTTGTGGGGGCGCGGCGGGCAGGCGCGATGATGTCGGGGTGTGGGGGTCTCGTGCCGGGTGTGGTTCGTGAAGGAGAAGGTGACCCAGTAACGCCGCGGCGGGCCGCCATGCGCGATGGCAGTCGCGGGGACCTCCTCGCAGAACTCGTACGAGTCGTAGGAGAGGGCGCCGCGCCCGCGCCCGTCGACTGCGTAGTGGAAGGGGAAGCCGCCGGGCATGTGCGGGAGGGCGGAGGTGCGGTCGTTCAGGCGGTTGGCGAGCCAGCGCTTGATGCAGAGCTCGTCGCCGGGGGAGAGGCAGTCGTATGAGAGGCTCGCTTTTAGAGGGTGTGCTGGGGGCGGGGCGTAGCAGGGCACGGGCTTGAGCATGTAGGGCGCATGAGGCATGACTCGTAGAATATCGTGTGCCGCGCAGAGTAAGGAATCCAGACCGCAGAACGACTGAGCTTTAAGAAATACGCCATACGGCAAGCGCCTTCAGCCAAAGACATAGAAGCCGCGGTTTGGAGGCGACGTTGTAGTGCAGTACAATAAACGCTGATAGGCGCGACAAACAAGCATCCAGAAGTAACAATAATCCGGCGGAGGCGCGCGCCCACAAACGACGACCATCACCAGAGTAGATTCAAAGACAAAGCCAGCACGGTAATAAGGTGGGCGGTCATAAGGCGGTCCGCCGTCCGTGAGATTCTTTGCCGGGTTTTTATTTATTTGACTTCAAGGACACCTCATGGCTCGCATCAAGGGGAGTTTGTTGCACTTTGTTATGGTTGGCGGTAATTGCCGAGTTCAACCAGATGTTCAACTTATGAACGTTATATGAACCGCGATGTTCGAGAAAACGAAAATCGGGTTATCAAAATTAAATAAAAACAGGCCTCCCTCTCAATGACTTGAACGTTTCGCGACCGCGGATCAGGTTGCGAAATTAAAAGTGATCTGTTAATTAACTGTGCCTCAACCGTGCTCCAATCAGACATCCTTATAAGTAGACGCTTGGAGGGCGCTTTCTAAACCAGGCGTTTCGGTACCTTGTTCCCGGAGTTTCGGTAGTTTGTCCCGTCCTGGCGTAACTGTCTATTGAACTCAGTTCAGCCGTTGTACTTTCCGCCCCTTAGCGCGTAGTGAACCCCTGGGTATTCCAGTCAAAGACAAGACAAAGCCGGCACGGCAATAAGGTGGACGGCAATAAGCTGGCCCACTGCCGTGGCTTGGATCAAGGGTGGTTTGTTGCGCTTTGCTTGTGGTTGGCGGTAACTGCCGAGTTCAACCACTTGGATGTTCAACTTATGTGTTTGAGAAAATGAAAATCGGGTTATCGAAGAATAAGTAACAATACCCTCCCTCTCAACTAATTGAACGTTTCCCAGCCGCGGATCAGGCATTGCAAAATTAAAAGTGACCTGTTAATTATCTGTGCTCCAATCAGACATGCTTGTAAGTAGACGCTTGGACGGCGCTTTCTAAACCAGGCGTTTCAGTACTTAGTTCCCGTCGTTTCAGTACTTTGTCCCGGCTTGAGCGTAGCTGTCCATTGCACTTGGTTCAGCCTTTGTACTTTACGCCGCTTAGCGCACAGCGAGCCGCTGGGTATGTCAGACAACACACAGAACAAGGGACAGCTTATAACGCAGACATAGGCTCTCAATGCGGTAATTTCTCATTTAGCTCGAACAAATTTAGACATGATGATCTACCCCGAACCTCTAAGTATCCGGTAAACAAAACACGAGTCAGTAACATGTCGCTAGCTGCTTTCAGCAGCCTTCGTCGCGGGCAACTCCGACAACTCTACCCCTCCAGCTCCGGCCTCTAAATCCCGCAGCGTCGCCACCCCACTGGCACCCGCCCTCCCATTCCGCCTCTCCATCTTCCTGTCCAGCCCCTCCTGAATCGCGCGCCGGCGCAGCTGCTCCTCGTCCCCGCGCGACAGCTCCTTGTGCTTGATCATCAGCACGCTCACCGCCGTCGCCAGCACCGTCAAACACGCGTTCAGCACGAACAGCGCGCTGAAGCCCCTGGTGTACCCGCGTCGCAGGATGTCGCGCGCGGTGTCCTGCGAGAGGCCGAGCAGCGCGGGCGTGTGCAGCAAAGCGGGGTCATCGATGATCTGGCTAATGGCAGACGGGGAGAGGCCGAGGGAGGTCATAGCGGTGCTGAGCTTGTTGTTGCTGTTGGATGTTAGGAGGAGCGAAATGAAAAAATGAAAAAAAAGCGGACGCACATGAGGGTCGCTGCGACCGCGAGCGAGAGGGTGCCGCCTAGAAGGCGGATGAACTACGATATTTATTAGGAATGAATAGAACCGATGCGGCGGGAGAGTACCCACATTGCGCATGGCTGTAACGACGGACATGTCGCGGCGCGACACACTCGCTTGGACCGCCACCGTCGTCGTTTCTGCATTCCGTTATTTAACTTCGATGGATCACCGATATTACTATTACTCGAGACTCACGCATGGTCTGAAAACGTTAGTTAATCGAAGAACGAGGAAGAGTTGAAGGCAGATACACACCCCGCCTGCCCCGATACCGCAGAGGACCATGTACACGACCAGAGCGGCGATGGGCGTCCCGGGCTTGATGGTCGAGACGCAGCCGCACGCGATGGACCAGATGGCGAAGCCCGCGTGGATGATCGTCTGCAGGCCCCGGACAAATGACATATTAATTATTATTGCACAAAAAATACAATAAAAAGGTATACGCACCCGGTACCGCCCGGTGCGGCTGATCATGAGGCCCTACTCGAAAGAAATGAGGAATTGTAGAAGTGAGATCGTCGGTACGCACGGCACCCATGCTGGCGATGATCTGGACGACGAGCAGTGGGACGAGGAACAGGCCTGCAGCGCCATACATAAATTTGAAGCGTGCGCGAAGCTGTCAGCGATGCAAGGACGCACCAGCGTGGATGGGATCGTAGCCCAGGACGGCCTGGAAGTATTGCGGGAGGTAATACAACGTCGAGAAGAACACGAAGCCGCTGCGGTGAGTTGGCTACATTAAAATGCACATACATCCATGCGAAAGCGAACGACACGCACTTGACAAACATGGTGATAAAGACGCCGGATACCGTAGAGTGTTTAAAAATATACACTGCGCCAAAAATAAGTTGAGGTATGTTCCTTCCGGGTAGAATGAGTTCGACGATGACGTACTCGGAACAATGGGCAGCCGCGCGCCTTTCCACTCCCAGAAGCAGAATATGCCGACGACGGCGAAGCCGGAGAGCAGCGGCGCGAGGACAATCGAAGACTTCCATGGGAAGATTACGCCTCCCTGGCGTGCATGCGTTGAGAACGCGGCTGACGAAACTGATGATGATGAACAAGAACATACCCAAATGAGAGGCAACATCAACAGCGTGCAGCCGGCAAGGGTCAGTAGTGTGCCGAGGTAGTCTACAGCGAGGAGTTTGCTGTGGGGTGTCGGCATATTATTCATTGTAAGGACGCGTTTCTCTCACCTGCGGATTTCGCCCTGGACAGGCTTCAAGGGGAGAATGAACACAACCACGCATGTAGCGATGAACGAGACGGGGATCGTGACCCAGAAGCACCACTGCCGGGGCTATAGTCAGCCTCACATGGCCGACGGTGGGAGCAGCGAACGTACATGCCATCCGGCGTGCTGCGCAAGCGCACCACCGATTACTGGACCGATCGCATATCCAATAGCGACGACTAGGGCAATTAGGATAGTCAAAAATATTCAACGCGGATCTGCGTACCTCCGCCGATAATTCCTTGGTATTTGCCTCTGAATAAACGTTGAGGATTTGATAGAAAGTGGCAGATCTATCTATGCGTACCTCTCGCGAAGACTGACAATGTCCGATACGACGATTTGCATCATACTCACCAAGCCGCCGCCGCCAGCGCCAGCGAAACTGCCGTGGGCGTGAGGACTCATATTTTGTGCAATTCTGTGCGAGTGCAAGTATGTACATACCCGCGGAAGACGATCAACTGCGTAATTGTTGTAGAAAACCCGGAAATAAGATTTCCAACCATAAACAACGTCATGGCGAGGCTCAGCGCGCTCTTGCGGCCAAAAATGTCGGAGAACCTGTGTCATGCCAATTTTTCAGCGCAGAACTGCAGCAGCAAGTAAAAGCTGCGCATACCGGCCATATAAAGGCTGAAAACACGTCGAAGTCAGGAGATACGCGGACGGAACCCACGAAACGACCGCGCCGGCATTAAATGCGGAGGAGATCGTCGGGATCGCTGTTGCGACGATAACCGAGTCGAGCGTCGACACAACAACGCAGAGCGCGAGCCCGAGGAAAATCGGCAGCAGCTTTTTGAACGGGAGCATGTTTGTTTGGTCCGTGAGCTCGACGGTGTGCCCATGGGAGGGCGTGGCGGTCCCCGGGGTGCTGGGGGAGGTGCTGGATTGCTCGGGGACAGACAGCGACATGGGGGTCGCGAGAAGAGATATGTGGGCCTCATGTGGAGAGAGTGTCTGCAGGTTTATTATGGTCGGACGGAAGCGCCGACTCGGTCATCATGCCGCGGACCGGCAAACAAAAACGCGATCACGTGGACGTGCAGACTCGGCGATTCGGGTTGAGAGTCTCAGTTTCTGGATTATCTGATCAGGAAGAAGCAAAAAAATGCGGGCATCGATAGATCGAGGGGACCTCTGCCGTACGAGGTTCTGCGGAGTTTGAATTTTACGGACACCATTTTTTATGGGGGAAAATAAGGGTCCGCATGTCATTCTACACTCAGTTTTCTGCGTCAAAAAAATCACATCGACCAAGGGTAGACAACATCATGCAGTGAACATGCTACTACTGTATCCCCGCCGAACAGTTGAGCGTGATCATGAATCCTGTGCGCCGATCATGCCGCAAAAATTCTCAAAAAGAGAACCTGCCGTGGGTCGAACACGGGACCTCGCGATATCACTCTCGTTTGCAATCGCACGCTCATACCACTGAGCTACAGATTCCACAACTGGTTGAAGAGAAATCCAGACAACATAAGAAATTATTTGGATCCGAAGCGGATCAAATTTGATGCGAGGAGGTTTTATGCTTTGTCATCATGTCTCCTCAAGTTGGTATCGACGACGACTCAATTGACCCAACATGCTCTCCAGTGCTCTCCGGATTGGCTTCTACTGTTGGCGACGACAAGTCATGTTTCAAATGGATCCCGTCTCCTTGTTTGAACAACCTGCTCTCTCGATAGCTATCCCTTTTTTTTTTTCAATGTCGGATTCGATCTTTTACTGGACTTGACTGGCGGTTGCTTTGAGACTGATATTGTCGTTTTTGTGCTGCTCTAGTAGATGGAAGAACCATGTCTGTCGCTCCACACTTCTCAAGGACGGACGATCGCAATCCGGTCCGACCTGCCATCAATTGAATCACTTCACACCAAATCACACTTCTCCTCGCTTTCCAGGTGAACCTGGACGCGTTTGACGCGCCGGGCGCACTCCATTTCTCAAGCATGGTCGACAATCTATTCATTTTCACTTGCATGCTTCATGCATCGACTATTGGGAGGTTCAGCGCTTGAATTCTGGCTTGTTCCGACTTTGAGCGATAAACCAGTGATCTGCGCGTCAGGATGCACCAATTAAGACTGCCATCGGGATACAAACGGTGTCAAAACCCAAAGTTCTTCTCCACGGACTTGCCTAACTTGAATTTTCACGGTTATCTCTTTATGTAGTTCTTCCAAATTTATATGGATTTACGAATCTACGATTTGGAATGGGATCGAGACGTGTCATGACGGATACCCTTGCCGTTCCTTCCTCTCCCTCTCCCTCTCCCTCTACCGCTCACCGCACAAAGACATGTGTCCGCTTTTTCCGGGTCAGGCGAGTATTCCTCAGTTTCGACATTCATACGCTCACGTTTTATGCTAGGCCGTTCTTCCAGGTGTACGTTGGCACGCCGTCGTTTCTTCCAGATTGATTCCAATTCATTCCACTAGATCTCGTCGAATTCGACACGGCACCATCCCATTGTCCCAGGGCGCGGTGGCAAAAGCGAAAAGGTATCAACACACGCGTTTCTTCCGACTGCACCTCATTTGACATTCAAGGCGCGAGCCAGAGCTGGCGGGCACAAGGTAGGCCTAACTAAATCCGTCCTCTTTTTACATGCTCAACCTCACTTGGCATGCAGCGTATCTCTGCGGTGAGTCCATCTCTGCAATATTTGTCTCGTCGTTGCGAACATTCTGCAGGAGGACGGTGACGACGGCGATGATGAGAAGGAGTCATCCGCAGGAAACAGAGCGAGCAAGAGAAAAGTGAGTACCTCCGTCTCCTTACTTCTACTATGTCTAATGTGTGCTCCGAAGCGATCCCTTGTCGTGAGGGTCTCTTCGCTCCATGTCTTGCACTGCTCATTATTATACTGCAGGCCGAGGTACAGGAAGTAGAGACGGGGACGGGAGACGAGCATGACGACGACGACGACGAGCCCCAGGCATGACCAGCAAACTTTCATAATAATATTTTTTTCTCACTTCTTCTGATAGCCTAAGCGCAGGAGGACCGGAATCGACTCGGACTCGGACGTCAACGACAACAGGGTCGCGGTAAGTTTCGTCATGCATCCCCCCTTTTGCCTGCTAATTGATATCTCAGCAGTCGCGCTCTGCCGGACCGCCGCGTCGAAAAGGACCCGCAGTGAGTTTTCTATGTTTTCCAGCCGCACTTCCTCATCTGCCATACACAGAAGTTTACCCTCTCAGAACGGGAAGCCAAAGCACAAATAAACAATGCGGTTCGTCGGGAACATCGCGCAGAAAATCCCAAACATGTGGTTCGTACCCCTGCCCAGAAACGGGAGGTCGGAGAATTTTTAGGCAACGACATACGGCTAGTCTTCGGACAACAGATCGCTATCTGCGACGCGCTACTTGATGCTCCGTCAGATCCGATAGCACAGCTGCTAGCAGTGAATGCAATACAGTGCCAGCACCAAGGGCTGGCTCCCATGCTCCCTGACGACAATTTGCTCAGTCAACTCCGTGCAATTGCTCCCCTCCTTGTCAACCTATCAACAAACCCTCTCGCGTTCGTCGTGGATGATTGGATATCTTCGTGCATGTTGGTTGAAGATACAGGCCAGTATCTTCCCCTGAAGACTGCTCGTTACCATCTCCGCCTCGCGACGGTTCCGAAGGAGGACGTCCCCTTCTTATCCATATACATCAACCGTCGACCTGCTGATATTGGATGGGCAACCCTGCTAATGCTGGCACAACAAACCCCGATACCTCACATCCAAAAGGCGGCTGAAGATGTCTTGATAAAGTACGAGTGCGAAGACACAGCCCCTGCAGTCCTTGCGGCAATGAACGACCTCGACGTCAAACGCTTACAAGCCCATATTGTTCCTAATGCGGATGGTTCCATGACTCTCGCCTATGGCGGTGTCACCATTGCCGGCACGCCTCTTTTCCGACTAGAAGATGACTTGCTTTTCGTCAAGCACTCCAGATGGGGTAATCTACCCAGCTTAAAGTGGTGAAGTTTTCATGTCCCTGCAGCCGACATACCGGCTCCGGATGGGCCACTCTCTTTCCGCACCAACGCAAATATCGGCCTCATGGAGGGTATCTTAGTTAATGCTCTGCGTGGACTCGGCGTCAACACGACCCCAGGCGGTACCTGGATTCCCTCGTTCGAACCTCCCGCCCATCTCCGCGCTCTCACCAACAAAGCCAGCCTCCCGTACCGAACAGATTTCCCTGACGGGCTGTCCCCGGCTCTACAAAGGCAAGTCGCCGAGCTACTTGATGACGAGTACAATTTCTGGAAGAAGAAATCGGGAGCCAGTGCGGTGTGCGTCCCTGAAACGCTCCAGTCAATCAAGGATAATCTTATCGACGCCGCATGGACGGTGCGGGGGAATGTCGTTATGATGACGCTGGCTGAAGACATTACGAAGGAGGAACGGGATGGCAGAGTTGGGGGAATCGAGACAACGACAGCGGGGCCCGCAATTCAGGAAGCAGCTCACATTACACGTCTCATCCACCCCGACTGCACAAATAACTTCTCACCAAGACAGCTACGACAGATTCGAAACTCGTTCTGCGACCTTTTTAGGTTGACAGAGCCTGTTGAACGGGCTATTCATCTCGCGTTTCTGGCTCGAATCCTCTGCGCCATGAAACCGGTCCTGCTCATTGGCTGGTCCAACACCATCCACCACGCGCTGACGAGGTCCGAGACTCGTGATGTTTTGTCAGCCGGTCCCGACAACCCAAAGGCGAATGATGCCCGTCAGACCTTTCTGCAGGGAACCTCCAGTCCCCATTCTATTGCGACATTCGTACCTACAACGTGGTATCGAGATGGTGTGGTTACTCAGAATGAAGAGTTTTGGCAGGCCATCGGTATCCCAACGATTGTCGCATACTCGACGACTGACTTGAGCCTTTTTATCCCCACCTACCATTTCGGAGCCGTAAAGCACGACCCCCGCTTCGCTGATCGACTTCGCCGCCTGCTTTATCTTGTTGCTTCGGGTGTAGTGGAGCCTTCAAAGGCAATAATTGCTGAGAACCTCGCCCTCAACGGGCCAATGCCACACGGGAATCGGGACGCGTTGATAGCTCGCCTGGAGGTACTACGCGAGTCTATACTCCAACACATGCACGCCACGGGTGTAATGCTCGAGCTCGATACACACAAGAACGCGCTGTATTCGGATCGACGGGTCATTGGGCAGATCCGACATTTCAACCAACAGCGGAAGCTCGCAGCTGTTGCCGAAGAAGACGAAAGTACCTGCACGTCATCCGAGGATGGGGAGGACGAGCCTTCACCGCGCAGGCCACGGTATGCGGTTTTGGCTGCTGCAGGAGATGCTGCTCGCCATCGCCAGCTCCAGCACATTGTGCAGGATCATGAGCTACGAACTCTCGGTGGGCGCTCATATCTCCTGACCAGACGCGCATCTCTAACGTGTACCTCTAGGCGGGCTCAATCCTGATCCACACGGATACATCCCCTTCCAGATGGATGTCCATTCCGACGAGTTCAGTTCATACATTCTGGGGCTCAAGGACGGCCAAAACCTGTCCCAGTCCGGCAAGGTTCTGGGTCGTGATGCTGTGCGTCATCAAAACCAGCTCGAAAACCAAGCCCGTATTGGACCTTGGAATGTGGAAGCGGCGGCGGCGCGTCGCATCCCCGATGAATCCGGCATCACTCCTCTCGCTCGCAGCCGGAATGACAGGGAACTGACGAAGCGGGGCGATTTGGTTCTGCGAGCGCTCAAGGCGGTGCAGGATCCGCAGAAGCTTGTCAATGAGGAGTTCGACCACTCGTGGCGGTTTGGGACCTGCGACCAGTGCAACGAGATCGTTATTGGCTTTAGCCAGGTCTGCGCTCACTACTGTTCTGTGAGCGACGAGTCCCTCCCACAAGCTGACCGCGTCCAATTTCCCGACGCTCGTACGAATCACCTACGTTCATGAGATTCTCGAAAATCCCGAGCTCTCTGCCTGTGTCCCGGTCAAGGAATTTGCATCTTTCAAAGACACCCTAGCGTCTGTTTCGATCCGGTCGCTCTTCGGCACTGAAAAGTACAAGAAAGAGCTCAAAGAGCTTCTTCCTCAGGAATACCCCGAACTCTCGAAATCATTTGAATCACCAAATCTCGTTTATTTGCCCAAAACACTCAACAAACGCCGTGATCTATGGCTGACCCTGGCGGTGGATGTGCTCCTGACGGAACACAGCTGTAAAGAACCCAGGTTTATGCCCAAGACCGCACAGAAGCGAGATGCGTGGCGGGGTCACCGCCTATCTTTATGCGACTGGTTTTCTTCTCGCACTCATAGCAGTGCGTACTCAGTTTCTCGTCTAGCCCGAAGCTAACGCGATTCAATAGAACCCAAAACCCTTTACCTATTTGCATGCTCCTATGGCGACTTCCGGGTCATAGACAAACCGCGCAGCCATTCCGCCCG